TGGGTTATGTGATGTGTGTGTATGTTGTGTACAGTGTGTCTCGTGCATGAGCTATGTGATGTGTGTGTGTGTGTTGTGTACAGTGTGTCTTGTGCATGAGCAATGTGATGTGTGTGTATGTTGTGTCTTGTGCATGGGTTATGTGATGTGTGTGTATGTTGTGTACAGTGTGTCTTGTGCATGAGCTATGTGATGTGTGTGTATGTTGTGTACAGTGTGTCTTGTGCATGAGCTATGTGATGTGTGTGTATGTTGTGTCTTGTGCATGGGTGATGTGATGTGTGTGTATGTTGTGTACAGTGTGTCTTGTGCATGAGCTATGTGATGTGTGTGTTGTGTACGTTGTGTCTTGTGCATGAGTTATGTGATGTGTGTGTTGTGTCCGGTGAGTCTTGTGCATGAGTTATGTGATGTGTATGTTGTGTACAGTGTGTCTTTTGCATGAGTTATGTGATGTGTATGCTGTGTACATTGAGTCTTGTGCATGAGTTATGTGATGTGTATGTTGTGTACAGTGTGTCTTGTGCATGAGTTATGTGATGTGTGTGTTGTGTACGTTGTGTCTTGTGCATGAGTTATGTGATGTGTATGTTGTGTACATTGAGTCTTGTGCATGAGTTATGTGATGTGTGTGTTGTGTACGTTGTGTCTTGTGCATGAGTTATGTGATGTGTGTGTTGTGTACGTTGAGTCTTGTGAATGAACTATGTGATGTGTATGTTGTGTACAGTGTGTCTTGTGCATGTGTTATGTGATGTGTGTGTTGTGTACGTTGTGTCTTGTGCATGAGTTATGTGATGTGTATGTTGTGTACATTGAGTCTTGTGCATGAGCTATGTGATGTGTATGTTGTGTACAGTGTGTCTTGTGCATGAGTTATGTGATGTGTATGTTGTGTACGTTGTGTCTTGTGCATGAGTTATGTGATGTGTGTGTTGTGTACTTTGAGTCTTGTGCATGAGCTATGTGATGTGTATGTTGTGTACGTTGTGTCTTGTGCATGAGTTATGTGATGTGTATGTTGTGTACGTTGTGTCTTGTGCATGAGTTGTGTGATGTGTGTGTTGTGTACTTTGAGTCTTATGCATGAGTTATGTGATGTGTATGTTGTGTACGTTGTGTCTTGTGCATGAGTTATGTGATGTGTATGCTGTGTACGTTGTGTCTTGTGCATGAGTTATGTGATGTGTATGTTGTGTACGGTCAGTCTTGTGCATGAGTTATGTGATGTGTGTGTTATATACGTTGTGTTTTGTGCATGAGTTATGTGATGTGTATGTTGTGTACGTTGTGTCTTGTGCATGAGTTATGTGATGTGTATGTTGTGTACGGTCAGTCTTGTGCATGAGTTATGTGATGTGTGTGTTGTGTGTGTACGCTGTGTCTTGTGCAAGAGTTATGTGATGTGTGTGTGTATGTTATGTACGTTGTGTCTTGTGCATGAGTTATGTGGTGTGTGTTGTGTGTGTGCGCTGTGTCTTGTGCAAGAGTTATGTGATGTGTGTGTTGTGTACGTTGTGTCTTGTGCATTGGTTATGTGATGTGTATATTGTGTACGTTGTGTCTTGTGCATGAGTTATGTGATGTGTGTGTTGTGTGTGTACGCTGTGTCTTGTGCAAGAGTTATCTGATGTGTGTGTATGTTATGTACGTTGTGTCTTGTGCATGAGTTATGTGATGTGTGTTGTGTGTGTACGCTGTGTCTTGTACAAGAGTTATGTGATGTGTGTGTTGTGTACGTTGTGTCTTGTGCATGAGTTATGTGATGTGTATGTTGTGTACGTTGTGTCTTGTGCATGAGTTATGTGATGTGTATGTTATGTACGTTGTGTCTTCTGCATGAGTTATGTGATGTGTATGTTGTGTACAGTGTGTCTTGTGCAAGAGTTATGTGATGTGTGTGTTGTGTACGTTGTGTCTTGTGCATGAGTTATGTGATGTGTATGTTGTGTACGTTGTGTCTTGTGCATGAGTTATGTGATGTGTATGTTATGTACGTTGTGTCTTGTGAATGAGTTATGTGATGTGTATGTTGTGTACAGTGTGTCTTGTGCATGAGTTATGTGATGTGTGTGTTATATACGTTGTGTCTTGTGCATGAGTTATGTGATGTGTGTGTTGTGTACGTTGTGTCTTGTGCATGAGTTATGTGATGTGTGTGTTGTGTACGTTTTGTCTTGTGCATTGGTTATGTGATGTGTGTGTTATGTACAGTGTGTCTTGTGCATGAGTTATGTGATGTGTGTGTTGTGTGCGTTGTGTCTTGTGCATGAGTTATGTGATGTGTGTGTTGTGTACGTTGTGTCTTGTGCATGAGTTATGTGATGTGTATATGGTGTACGTTGTGTCTTGTGCATGAGTTATGTGATGTGTGTGTTGTGTACAGTGTGTCTTGTGCATGAGTTTTGTGATGTGTGTGTTGTGTGTGTACGCTGTGTCTTGTGCAAGAGTTATGTGATGTGTATGTTGTGTACAGTGTGTCTTGTGCATGAGTTATGTGATGTGTATGTTGTGTACGTTGTGTCTTGTGCATGAGTTATGTGATGTGTATGTTATGTACGTTGTGTCTTGTGCATGAGTTATGTGATGTGTATGTTGTGTACAGTGTGTTTTGTGCATGAGTTATGTGATGTGTGTGTTATATACGTTGTGTCTTGTGCATGAGTTATGTGATGTGTGTGTTGTGTACGTTGTGTCTTGTGCATGAGTTATGTGATGTGTGTGTTGTGTACGTTGTGTCTTGTGCATTGGTTATGTGATGTGTGTGTTATGTACAGTGTGTCTTGTGCATGAGTTATGTGATGTGTGTGTTGTGTACGTTGTGTCTTGTGCATGAGTTATGTGATGTGTGTGTTGTGTACGTTGTGTCTTGTGCATGAGTTATGTAATGTGTATGTGGTGTACGTTGTGTCTTGTGCATGAGTTATGTGATGTGTGTGTTGTGTACAGTGTGTCTTGTGCATGAGTTTTGTGATGTGTGTGTTGTGTGTGTACGCTGTGTCTTGTGCCAGAGTTATGTGATGTGTATGTTGTGTACAGTGTGTCTTGTGCATTTTTTGTGATGTGTGTGTTGTGTACGTTTTGTTTTGGGCATGTGTTATATGGTGTGTGTGTGTGTGTGTGTGTGTGTGTGTGTGTGTGTGTGTGTGTGTGTGTGTGTGTGTGTGTGTGTGTGTGTGTGTGTGTGTGTGTGTGTGTGTGTGTGTGTGTGTGTGTGTGTGTGTGTTTTGTGTGTGTGTGTGTTTTGTGTACGTTGTGTGTCCTGCATGTGTTGTGAGATCTGTGTGTTGTGTACCTTAGGTTTTGGGCATGTGTTATGCGATATGTGGGTTGCGCACGTTATGTTTTTAGGCATGTGTCATGCGATGTGTGACGTGTACGTTGTTTAGGTGGTATGTATTATGTGATGTGAGTGTTGCGTTTGAGCATGGGTAAAACAGATTTGAGGGCAGTCAATTATGATGTAGAAATGGCGATGCTCTACACAATAGCGTGACTTTAAGGGCAACACGTGCCCTGGCGTCTCCATCCAGGTAATGCAAAGTGTCACAAACGCATATTCGTTCAGAAAATGTAATCTGTCACCAAAAACCAACACGCCACACGGTGTTGTTAAATGCCTTCATACAATTCTAAACTGATATTCTACAATTATGCTTCTTCCCTTATTTTACTTCTAAGAATAGCTAATAGGTCAATATTGCCAAAGTTTATCAACTCGTATTGTCGATCGTGCAATTAATTAAAGAATGAAAATTGACTTGACGAAGTTTGTTTGGATCCTACTTAAATGGTGGCACTTGGAGTGGCAGCTTCTCGCGTTTCAAGCAATATACAAGTGGTCTGTCAACTGTCGAGGCCTCGTGATCAGACTGACCGGTGAACTTGTACATGTATTTATATGTATGTCCAGTAACAACAGTGTGTTGCCATACTGGCACTTTAGTCAAGAATTTTAGTACCGGTAGGGGAGGACATGCTAGCCCTTTTCGCGAACACCTGGTGTTATCGTTGATTTTCAGTCATCCATTCATAAACTTTTCATCGCTATTTTGCATTTTACTCCCAATGGAATAAAAAATATGTTTTTTGCGATAGTTGAGACCGATTATTATCTAGCATTAACGTTTCATAATTAGAATGTCTGTAATTAATTTCCAGAGAGAGAAAGATTTACAAAATAATCTCATAATTAGCTGTAGTAAAGAAGTTGTGTCGTCTTTATTCATATCGTGTCATGAGGATACAATTACGACAACAATGATGAAACGTTATGTCATCATATATTTTGACATTACAACATCAGACGTCAACATTGCATTATGTCAACAATGAGGAGTGCGTGAACTTGTTAATACACGAGTGCTTTGAGTGCGTTTAATTTTTTTGCATATATTTAAACGTTGGAATAAGTAAGGCAAAAAACAATCTGAAACATTCGCGAAGACCTGCAATCATCACAATTTGAAGGTGATTCGCGGACGCCTGCTCACGATAATTATGCTCTGTACAATCGACTCTGCTTATTGCAGATATTTCTTTTGAATATGGAAAGGGTTGTTTTTTTGTTTCAAGGTTTCTCGTTGAGGTAACTAGTTATTTCCATATGAAATATCCAGGTAAGAACTACAGTAGTCAGTTCGGTATATCTCTGTTATCTTAGCATCAATAACGATGTCAAACACCCCCTTCTTTACTAATATACGTTTTAGCATTAACAGGGCGTAAGATACTGCCGAAGCAATAAGCTTACATCTATTTTATACATTTTGTTTTCAAAGAAACACGTTGAAAATTATGAAAGATGAATTTACAACTCGTGACTTAGTAAACTATTTGTAAATAAATTAAATTAAGTTAACAAGTAACACGTGTAGGAGGGCGGTTATCTTCACACTTAAGTGTTGAAGTAGGGGGTGGATATCATCTACTATCACCGATCTCACGATCCTCACGCTGTTATCGCGAGATACTAAAGAAAACTTCCAAAATATACTTACCTATATGAATCGATGAAATACATAATAAACCGAAGAATGTAAAAATAATGCACATTGCTTCTGTTAGAGTATTGATCCAAGCGAACGCCCCAGGCGGAAGGTGGTGTAAAGTGACTGTTCTTAGGCCTCCGTCTTCGTGTCGCGGCAGCCGTCCAGCCGAGTTCAGAAGTTCTCAAAGTCCGTTTCTACACCGCAGATAGGGTTGCGATAACGCTGTATTGTTTCTCCGTGTGCTTGTGTCAAAGTGACTCTGCTGTAAGGGGCTTTCGATGATCACATCCCGAGAAAGAGGTGGAAGGGGTGTGTTATCAGAATAATGTATTACGAAGTTCAACTACTTGTCTTGGACGTCTTTTGATGATTGGTTCACAACGTACTGCTGACTTTATGTCTTACTATCTGAGGTCCAGGCTGAACATGTTTCCAGATTGTTGACATGTGACTGGTACGCGCATATTATCGTACAGTGCAACATCGGTGACAAGCCTTCCGTACCACCCATTAAATGTCGCGTAATCTCTCTCTCTCTCTCTCTCTCTCTCTCTCTCTCTCTCTCTCTCTCTCTCTCTCTCTCTCTGGAAACGAATGGCGACAATCGATCGTAACCTCTAAACTGTTATGAAGAAACTGTTAAAAAAGCGTTTGACTAATAATAACAAGTTTAAAACTACAGGGTGGAATGTGTAAGTCTCCCAACTACGCTGGTATGCCGTCACCGCGCATGTTGTTCCCAGGGACGTCAGAATCAGCATTGTCAGAATGGATATGTTCTATTAATACATCAAAGGTATTTGTTAAGGTGTTTTTTTCACAAAATATCTAGTTCCACGTGAACTATCTATAACTCTGACAGGAAGGGCCGTCATATCTTACACTAACAATTAAATAATAAAATCTCTTCTAAAATTGATTATGAACCCCTCAAAAGAACGCGCCAGCCTAATTGCACAATATATTTCTTTAAGTATAGCTCAGATCTATGTCGAACTAAAGTACTCTTAACAATCCTATTTGGTATACTTCAATGCGTTTCTTAATCATGTTTTTGGTGTGTTCTCTATATCAGGGAGTCTGAATCATATAACTTGTAGCAGTATCACTCGGGGCACAAGTAGCTTTTAGTCGTTAGGTGTTATACAAAGAGCCGAATGCGTCCGGCGTTAGGGTTTATACCACCTCCTCCTCCCCATCCGCAACCACCTCCTCTTCCTCCACAACCACCTCCTCTTCCTCCACAACCACCTACTCTTCCTCCACAACCACCTCCTCTTCCTCCACAACAACCTCCACCACAACCCTCTCTCCCCCTCCACAACAACCCCCTCCTCCTCCAAAACCACCACCTCCTCCTCCACAACCACCTCTCCCCCTCCACAACAACCCCCTCCTCCACAACCACCACCTCCTCCTCCACAACCACCACCTCCTCCTCCACAACCACCTCTCCCCCTCCACAACAGCCCCCTCCCCACCCCAACAAGCTTTTACAATTTTTTTTACCGATATCAATAAATGATTACCCTTATTACATTATTACATTATATTGCTACATTGTATTGCTACATTATATTGATACATTATATTGATACATTATATTGTAACATCATATTTTACATGACATTGTTACATTATATTGTTACATTACATTGCTCATTGTTACATTACAATGTTACATTATATTGTTACATTACATTGCTCATTGTTACATTATTTACATTGTTGCATAACATTGTCACATTATATTGTCACATTGTATTGTTACATTATATTGCAACATTATGTTGTTTGATTTCATTGATACATTACATTGTTTTAACTTCTTTGATAGGCATTTAGAAGTTGGAGTACTAAGTAAGGATAAGAATTTATGGATGAACAACTTCTTTATTACAGTTAAGAGCGACGTTTCGGTGTAGGTTTTAACACCGTTATCAAGCAAGTGTCATGGACACCACCCACTTCAACACCTTAACCGACAACATCCTCAACGATCAATCCACCTATAAGCAGCTAAAGAAAGACCCCACCAACAGCCTACAGAAAGAGCACAAGACCTTACTCAACCAACTTCTGGACAGCAATGAAATCGGCCCCACCCTCCACAAAAAACTCATCACCCCTCACCCTAAGCCACCTTATACCCGGGCAATCATAAAAATTCACAAAGACCCCGTCAAAGCCCGTCTCCTAGTCTGCTCCAATGACACTGTTCACTACAATACGGCCCAGCACCTATAAACGTCGCTCTTAATTGTAATAAAGAAGTTGTTCATCCATAAATTCTTATCCTTACTTACATGACATTGTTACATAACATTACTATATTGTTACATTACAGTGTTACATTGTATTGTTACATTTTATTGTTACATTATATTGCTACATTATATTGTTACATTACATTGTTGCATAACATTGTAACATTATATTGTTGCATAACATTGTTACATTATATTGTTACGTTATATTGCTACATAATGTTGTTACATTACATTATATTGTTACATTACATTGCTACATAACAGTGTTACATTATATTGTTGCATGACATTGTTACATTGTATCGTTAAATTTTATTGTTACATTATATTGCTACATTATATTGTTAAATTACATTGTTGCATAACACTGTTACATAATACTGTTGCATATAACATTGTTACATTGTATCGTTAAATTTTATTGTTACATTATATTGCTATATTATATTGTGACGTTACATGTATTTTGCTACATTATATTGTTACATTACATTTTTCCATTTTATTGTTACATTATATTGCTACATTACATTTTACATTACATTGTTACATAACATTACTACATTATATTGTTACATTATATTGCTACATTACATTGAACATTATAGTGTTACCTTACACTACTCATTGTTACATTACATCGTTTCAATTTCACGAAAAGCACAGATTACAAGGTTACCATGGCCAGGTCGGCAATCCTAAGAAGGTGTCCGGGCCAAAACGCATTATACAATTTCAACTGTGAAAAGTAGGTTATGGAGGATTTGACTCGAACCGCTTGACTGGAGACCAATTCCCCTTTAAGTGATGAAAATTACGCCCATAGAGCATTTCCCCCTCCCTTTAATTTAAATTGATACATTTTGCTTTTTTGACTGAGGCAAATCTATTGTTCAACGAATAATTTAAAACGTATATTGTCTTTTAAGAAATATTTAAAGAATAGTGTATGCCTTCATCCCACACATGCGTTTGCGTTTAGAAATATGGAAACAAAAATAAACAAGCGATTTGATGTATCGGGTATTGGTTGTGTTTTGTGTTGTGTCTTATATAATTGTTTACTTTACAATACGGGTAATGTTATGATTGTTTCTTATCAGTGCAGAACGCATAGAGGCACTTGACTCGTGTCGGATATAGTCTATATTTTTCACGTGAAGCATTACAAGAACTTGACGACGCGTCTGATTTTAGGTCCGCTTCATTCCATTTGAAGGTGCAGGTCAGGCCTATTCACAATAGCTGTAACAAGCAATGTTGGTGAAACATATAGTGATACACTACTGGTGGATGATGATGTGATGTTTGTCTTTCTTCCAAATGTGAACACAACAAAACACGCCGCTGATATGATAGTGATTTTGGATAACCAGCTTTACACTGGATGGATAATCGAGTCTGTGCAGATAAAACTCTCCTCCAACAGAGAAGAGTTTCTACTTTGCCGGTCAGGGACTTTGGGTGAGATAGTGTTATTTGTATGGTACTGTTGGAACAAAGCCGCTTTGATACAAAATATGTCTCTGCAATTGTTAAATTACTTTCATAGTTAGAAGGTATGTTGTTGTCATTAACTGTAGACAACAACTTTTCGCAATATCTACCAAATATTAATCAACACGCATCAGTAGCCCACATGAGGCTGAGTATTCGGAGACGAATTCATCAGCTGATCATATTTCATAGACGTGGTAACCTGCGTTCGAAGCTCCATGTAATGTTTAAAGAAAAGAAGCGTTACATGGTCAGAGCATGGAACATTCAATCAAGAATGGTGACAGATATTAGACACGTCACCTATTTTCGTGTCAAGACGGTGGCACAATGTAAACAATGTAAACACGTCACCTCGAGCTGAAATTACGGAAGTACTGTAATTTACAAGGTGCGCGTTTTATCGGATTTTAAATTGCTGCACGTGGGGATCAAACACGCGTTGTAAGGATGAAGAGCACAGCTTTGCCAATCATCCTAATGTAATGAGTTATCTAATAAGCCAACACTTTACCACTGGACCATGGACGCTATCACAAATATTTAGTACTTGATTGTTTACCCTGATTTGTGGTAGCCATTTTCCCCCATGAAAAGTAATAAAAAAATGTACACACTCTCTTCAAATAACATTGGAAAATGAGTTAAAAAGAGGTGAGATAGTTACAGTGTGTGAAATAGTCTCAAAGTATTGCTGGCCAGGTTGGCTAGCTTTCGTTAAAAGTTACTAGCCAGTTTTAAATATCACTACATATAAATATGCTTTGTTTTGTTTGTTTTTCCCAAAATTTGATTCGTTTAGGTAATAAAGTAAACCAAAATTGCAAAACATAAATCGAATATTTTTGTCTAGTTAGGAAAAATAAATGACATCTGATATAGCAGTGTATAGAGAACACGAATAATCATTAAGGTTAGTGAGTGCATTTTGTTCTGTTTAGTGTACAAAACAAGTACAGCGATACCCTGAGGTTGCAGGCTATTGCTCTGAAATTCTGAATCTGCATTGTTAAGTCAGTTAGTCAGAGTAAACTAGACCACATAAAATTTGCTACTGACCACACCTTTGACAAATGATGTCTATTTTGGTATTTCACCCCCTGGATAGCTAACCTGTGCCATAACTCACAACTAACCCTAAGCATCATTCAAGGGGTACCTAACCCTCTGGATCATGAAGGTGTGCTTCATCAGAAAGAGGATCTGAAGGCTATGGACAAAGTTAGGGGTAGCCTACCCAAATGCTAAAACAACTAAGCATCGAAGTGGATTGTGAGTGAGAGCCTTGCAGGCAGAGCCAATAAGTGTCATGATCTGCTTAACTATGCAGGAATTACGAGTACTCATGTGTCCTGACATAATGCATTATCAGCATGACTGATGTTTTTGCTGTCTGCTAGCTCAGGTATCTGAATGTAAATTCAGCATTATGTTATTGTTAGATTGCATTGAATGTATCCTGTGGACTAGTTATGGTCTGGACCCGTGAAAATCCGGGGTTGAATAGGTCTTCAGCAACCCATGCTTGCCGTAAAAGGTGACTATGCTTGTTGTAAGAGGCGACTAACGGGATGAGGTGGTCAGGCTCGCTGACTTGGTTCATGCATCTCATCGAATCCCAATTGCGTGGATCGATGGTCATGATATCAATCACTGAATTGTCTGGTCCAGACTTGATTATTTACAGACCGCCTTCATATAGCTGCAATAATGCTGAGTATGGAGTGAAACAACAAAGAAACAAAAAGTGATGGTCTGATGATAGACTGTACTTGATTATTCAATAGTTTTCCTGTGTTTGTTGATGCAGTGATCTCGGGTCAGTATGGTGATTGATTTTACACCAACTTTTATACATATTTACACAATGTAAACATTCGTTATCACATTGCAACCAATGAATAGTTTCAATTATCATGGAATGAGATTAATTAAGTATTCAACACAAAACTTTGATGTTCTTTATCAGAGTTAATATGTGAATTACATTTACTATATCTACCTATGAACATGATGAAAATATTTGCAAAGTGTATGTATGTTTTCATGTGACAATTACACTAAGTCTAGTAGAGGTGTGGCGATATGGGGTGGTCACAATAAGTTACATATTTTGCAAGTTGATATTCATTCTTTTTTCAGGTGAATTATTGGGGCACGGGTGGCCCAGTCGTCTAAGGCGCCGCGATTCTGCTGTGCAGAGTTGCATCCCTTGGGTACACCAGAAACCTATGATTGTGGGTTTGAATCCCGGTTCGCCCAGAATATGTTTCTAGGTTTGTCAGCACCATACCCTTCCTTGCTCGTGGGTTTCACTGAAGTGGTAAATGTCTGAGACCTGCATCACTTTGGGCTTTCCTCCCACATTAAGCTGACATGCCGCGATATAACTGGAATACTGTTAAAAGCGATGTTAAACCCAACTCACTTACTCACTCAGGTGAATTACAACCCTGAATTGTTTTGTTTTTTTATTTCACAGTTAGAAGATGGGATATTATAAGGCAGGAATATATAGGCTTGAGAGCAGTGTGAATGTTGTGCCGTTATATATCCAACTGGGAAATACTAGAGAATGTGTATAAGCTTGTTGTTCAACAGTTTCTTTCGCTGTATCGTTACACCACTACAGTCTTGGTTATACGGTGATTAATTGTTTGATTTGTCTCTGTTGCAGAACTCTAGCCATGTTCAGAGGGTAGGTGGTTTAATTTTCCTTGTTCACAGTGGCAGTCGACCAGTTAAATACATTACACAAGACCAAGACACATGTTTTAATACAATCTCATTAAAATCAGATCTTAGTTCTTGCATCCGCTAAACAAAGATCTGAGGACATCCCATTAGGGGTCATGTCAGAACCTTTCATCCCACCAATCAGATCATGAATGTGACAGTCGGAATGTGATTTCTAATCATGCAACCTCGAAAACTTTTATATGAGGTACATGTATTCCGAACGATAGTTACGGGCTTAAAGACTGAATCCACACAATCTAGACCATCTAATAGCCATTCCAGAATGTTCTTTTGTTCAGGTTTCAAATTTTTAAGCGAGAATTTGTCAAAATATGTTTCGAAGTGTAGTCGCCAATTTGTAATTAGTGCCATAAAGCCTGAGAAAGCTGCCTTCTCATTGGCTAATATCGACTTCTTGTCAGTCATTCCATTGGTCGGTCAAAGTTCGCGCAAGGTCGATCTCACGTGATCTGTAATGGGTGTCCTCAGATCTTTGTTTAGGGGTAGCGAGAACTAAGATCTGATTTAAATGAGATTTTAATATAGAGCCCACTGTTTTATTTCTCACAGTATGGATTATAGGTCCTAAAAAAGAAAACACTGTCCCTGATAATCCCCTGTAGGGTTTCCAGTTAGGAATTGGTCCACCTATGGTGGTCATAAGAGGTGACTTGGTGGATTAAGTGTCAGTGAAAACCCATAGCATGGATTGTTGCCCCTTAATATCCATCAACCCGTGAAGATCCGGGGAAAATAGGTCTTCAGCAACCTATGCTTGCCGTAAGAGGCGACTAACGGGATTGGGTGCTCCAGCTCGCTGACTTGGTTGATGCATGTCATTGTATCCCCATTGTGTGGATCGATGCTCATGATATCATTTACTGGATTGTATGGTCCAGAATCAAATAATTTACAGGCCACTGTCATATAGCTGGAATATTGCTGAGTGCGGCATTAAACAACAAACAAACATGATATCCATCACTCGATTGTTCTAGACTCCATTATGTTTCAGGCCTCAAAGTTTAAATTTTTACCAAGTAGCTATATGGCTACAACATGTACAAGTAGTTTGTTCCAGGTAGCCAGTGGTAAAATCAAGAAGTATTAGGTAGCCAAAAGCATTTGAAATTTGAATCTTTTATCAAATAACTATTATATGTACAAGTCATAGCACAACTCTTGGAACTGTATATTAGTGGAAACTACTTGAGTTTTGTTATTTGTGACTTGAACAATGATGCAATTTATGTTACTAGATTACATAGGTATATCCTTGTTTATCCAATAAACTATCAACTAAAATAAAATACTAATTACATTAATATTTATGTATTTCAGTTCATTGTTGACTTTAGGTGGTTATTTGCGAGTACAATTAGAAGCAGACATAACTATTTTTGTGTCTACATATGTGTAGCAGTAGAATTTAGTCACCACAAGATATTTTTCAAGGTAGTCATTTGGGAACCTCTGAATTTTAGACAGTTGACAAATTGAAATTTAGTTCGCATTGGCAACCATTTTAGTCATAACATTCAGGTTTATGTTTTCAGGTCGGTGTCCTATAGCTGGAATATTGCTAGGGTGGCACTGAACACACACTGCAGCTATACATGATTCTTTGTGAAATTATAGATTCTGATGTTTCTTCAATGTTGTCAGTATCCTGATTATGTCTTTTTCTTGTAGGTCTGTACGACGACTGCGTGTGATTCTAAATCATGTGGTAAGGATTGGTTTGTTAGGGAGGAAAATTTGTTTATGTCAACTTGAAACACAATGTTTCGGAATATGTACTTCTTCATCAGGTGAACCTTTGTTATGTTATGACTTTTGTTGTTCTTACATGTACATATATATGTTCTCTGCTTCATAGCATTTATTCACCTGATGAATGGAGTAAGTATATGCTCCAAAATGTTGTGTTTCTCAAAATAAAGAAGTTGACATCCATAAATTCTCTTCCTTATGTGTTTGACTTCAAAATGCCTTTCAAAGACTTGATTTGTTTTTTGTTTTGACTTTAGAAGAAAGATATCACAGACATGTCACCTCACAATACAGTGATAGAAAAATGTAACTGTTTTAGTCTACTAGTCTTTATTTTTATGGCATCTAGCAAAACCCATAAAAATGGCAGATTTCTACAAGTACTTATGATATCTTACCTATTGGGCAGTTTGGCAAGGACTATAGAGGGGTGGTCGGGTTGCCTAGTGGTTAAAGCGTTCGCTTGTCACGCCGAAGACACTCTTTAATTTAAGTGATATACTTGTGACATCCTTTATTACAGAAATGACTTCAGTATGTTTCTGCGTTTATGAGGTACGAGGGGCGGTCGGGAAGCCTACTGGTTAAAGCGTTCACTCGTCACGCCAAAGACCCAGGTTTGATTCCTGACATGGGTACAATGTGTGAAGCCCATTTCTGGTGTCCCCCGCCGTGATTTTGCTGGAACAAGCGGCGTAAAATCAAACTCACTCACTCACTCAAGGATTATAGCACTAGTGCCAATTTCTAATGCTGCATTATATTTGATACCACTACCTGCCTGCCGCCACTGCCTGGTAATCTATATTTGATAGACTCTGATTGCAGACTTATCCAGGGATGGCGAGAGATTATTTGCTGTATATAAGGAACATAAATTAGAAAATAATTTTTCTTTCTAATGTATGACATTTACAATATGGAAACACAAAAGGGTATTACTCTCTTTATCATATGAGGTTATTCTTATGATAATCAGTGTTTGAAAGGCCCGTGAAGTTCTGGGTTAGAATAGGTCTTCAGCTACCCATGTTTGCTGTAAGAGGTGATTATGTTGTCATAAGAAGCTACTAACGGGATTGAGGGGTCAGGCTCGCCGACTTGGTTCATATATGTCATTGAATCCCAATTGAGTAGACTGATGCTAATGATGTCCATCACTGGATTGATTGTCTGGTCCAGACTTTTGCAGACTGCAGACCACAGTCATATAGCTGGAATATTGCTGAGTGTGGCGTGAAACAACAAACAAACTGTGTTGAAGACTTAACTTCACTCAATGAAGAAGTTTCAGTAACTGTGTGTAAATACAATATTTGAGTGAATCACCTAATAAAGGAAAATTACATACATTTGTTCTTTTCTTCCAGAAAATGTTTTCAAGTGCAACAGATGAGGTGTTATTTGAGTGTGTTGGCGACAAGCGTGTGATTGTTTTAAATCGGCCAAAGGCCCTCAACTCACTCAACTTGTCCATGGCCAGGAAGATCTACTCCCAAATGAAGGTGAGTGTCTATCAGTAGCCATGGGATGAATGTATGCTGGTGAATAAAGTTTAGAAAAAAAAATCACAATTATCAAGGTTTTAGCAGGAGCTACCTTGTGATCATTGTCAATAGGGGTGGTCGGGTAGCCTAGTGATTAAAGTGTTCGCTCGTCACGCCGAAGATCCGGGTGTGATTCCCGACATGGGTACAATGTGTGAAGCCATTTCTGGTGTCCCCCGCCGTGATATTGCTGGAATATTGCTAAAAGCGGCATAAAACCATACTCACTCACTCACTCATTGTCAATACTTCACAACCTTTGTATCAGGTCTTTATCCTGGATTCTAAAATATTACTTAGTGCCCCTGGCAGACAAACTGTGAAAGAAATTGTTATTTTATTCAAGATTGGGATTTTCTTAAAGTTCTTCTTATGTTTGGTTGTTGTTTAATGCCGCACCCAGCAATATTCTAGCTGTATGGCGGCGATCTGTAAATAATCGAGTCTGGACCAGACAATCCAGTGATTGACATCATGAGCATCAATCCACGCAGTTGGGATTCAATGACATGTATCAACCAAGTCAGCAAGACTGACCAACCGATCCTATTAGTTGCAGTTGCCTCTTACGACAAGCATTGGTTGCTGAAAACCTATCTGTACCTGCATCTTCACAGGTCTCTTATTTGAGTACATGGTTTGAGTAGACATGGTTTCATTGAATAGTTTACATCCCTTATAGCACTGCTTTTCATAAGTAAAAGTGAAAAAAATATATGGTGCAAATTGTGGAATGCGAGATTATGAATATTAGGACTTATGTCCTTGAGGTGTCTGTTCATTCTAATTGCTCTACTCTCTCCTGTTTAGAGCTGGGAGTCAGATCCTGCCGTCTCTATGGTGATAATGAAAGGAACAGGTGACAAAGCCTTCTGTGCAGGTGGTGACGTGCGAGGTAGGTGGGGTGGGGGGGGAGTGTGGAGGTTCTAGGTGTGAGTGGGGAGAGTAAGGGATATCTACATACAAGCAGGTGGTGACGTGCGCTGTAGGGACAGGGGGGAGTGTGGAGGGTCTACATGTGGGTGGGGAGAGTAAGGAATGTCTACATACAAGCAAGTGTTGACGTGCGAGGTAGGTAGGGGGAGTGTGGAGGGTCTAGGTGTGGGTGGGGAGAGTAAGGGATGTCTACATACAAGCAGGTGGTGATGTGCGAGGTAGGTGGGGGAGTGTGGAGAGTCTAGGTGTGGGTGGGGAGAGTAAGGGATGTCTACATACAAGCAGGTGGTGATGTGCGAGGTAGGTGGGGGAGTGTGGAGAGTCTAGGTGTGGGTGGGGAGAGTAAGGGATGTCTACATACAAGCAGGTGGTGATGTGCGAGGTAGGTGGAGGGGAGTGTGGAGAGTCTAGGTGTGGGTGGGGAGAGTAAGGGATGTCTACATACAAGCAGGTGGTGATGTGCGAGGTAGGTGGGGGGAGTGTGGAGGGTCTAGGTGTGGGTGGGGAGAGTAAGGGATGTCTACATACAAGCAGGTGGTGATGTGCGAGGTAGGTGGGGGGAGTGTGGAGGGTCTAGGTGTGGGTGGGGAGAGAAAGGGATGTCTACATACAAGCAGGTTGTGATGTGCGAGGTAGGTGGGGGGAGTGTGGAGGGTCTAGGTGTGGGTGGGGAGAGTAAGGAATGTCTACATACAAGCAGGTGGTGACTTGCGAGGTAGGTGGAGGGGAGTGTGGAGGGTCTAGGTGTGGGTGGGGAGAGTAAGGGATGTCTACATACAAGCAGGTGGTGACAGGCAGGTTTAGGCATTAGCATCTCTCAAATCCAAAGCAATTTTTCTCAATGTTGATGGTGTTCTGATCATGATTTTGGCTAGATAATGGTTATCATATTCTGACTGGTAGTGTTTCAAGGTAAATTTCCATCACTTGCAAGGTAGCAGCTGGCCCAGTCTCGCATAAATGTATTTCTCTTTTCAGCCATCACTGAAGCAGGAAAGACCGGAGATCGTCTATCGAGGGACTTCTTCTTTGAAGAGTACATATTGAATAATCATATTGGCAAGTGTTGTTTCCAGTCTGTCGATGGCCCAGTTCAGTTATTGATAAGAGATCTCATTTAATCTGTTTATTGAACCTGTATGACTATGGGCTTGTCTCTTAACATTAATCAGACAGGATGTGGTATATCTGAAATATTACATGAGGACAAGTCTCTGTATGTTTGTGTCTTATTAGTTATTTATAGAAAGGAATAGGACTGTGTTAACTGACAAAATCAGCATTTTATATTTGTTGTTAATATGACGACTCAGCTCTGTGCCAGGTGCAATGTGACGTCTCACTTCTGTGCCAGGTTAAAGCATCACACGGAAGACCGGGGTTCAATTCCCCCCATGGGTACACCGTGTGAACCCCATTTCTGGTGTCCCATGCCGTGATGTTGTTGGAATATTGCTAAAAGCGGCGTAAAACTATACTCACTCACTCATTTCTGTGCCATGTGCAATGTGACATCTCAGTTCTGTGCAAGTATGCAGTGAGACATCTCACTTCCGTGTTTGTGTGCAGTGAGACGTCTGTGAAGATGCTGTGTCGTTGATGTAATGATGATGCTCTGTCCTTCCAGGTACCTACAAGCTGCCATACATTGCCATGATTGATGGCATTACGATGGGAGGGGTGAGTACCCAGGATAAGAATTTTCTGCATGACATCCTTGACATGGCACGATCACAATTTAATCCCAATTAGTGGAGATTACACAGAGAGAGTGAATATGGTTTTACCCTGCACCAGAAATGGGACACCAGACATGGGCTTCACACATTATATCAGTGTTTATATTGTTTATTTCATCATATTATGTATACGTAACAACCTGTAATGTGTTTGAAAAGTCGTACTAAAATATGCTATTTGAAGGGGGCGTGGCGTAAATGCAAATGTCCAATTGGGATTTTACATTTTCCGGACCCCTGCATTGTACCCTTGTGGGGAATCGAACCCAGGTCTTCAGTGTAACGACAAATGCTTTAACCCCTAGACTACACCACCTGCCCTGTGGAGATTCCATACTTGTAAGATCTGATGTGTGGTTACACTATGTATTTGTGACAGCGTGGATATTTTCTTATGCTGATGACATTGTTTGTTTGACCTTGAATCAGCAGGGTGCAGTGGAATTTGCTGAATATGGCGTCATTTATGATTTATATCATGTGATTTATTACTCAACTCAACAACCCCTGTGGTCTAGTGGATAGAGCATCTGCCCGGAGAGCAGAGGTCTATGGTACTTGTTACTCTGCCTGGTGCTCGGCTTAAAGGGGGGCTAAAACAAGGACTGGTCGGCTCGGAGTCAGAATACTGTGTCTGAGTGGAGTGTCCATGTGAAACTGTAGCATGGTATATCAATTGGCTAGTGCAATTACCTTTGATGCAATGTTAAATAGTTATAGTTATAGTATAATAAAGTATTTATCATCCAAAACTGGCTCCCACAGGAGATATCGCTTGGAGGAGATCAAGCAATGTCTACACTGTAGATATCGCTGCAATGAAATTACATCATGATGCTTTGCAGACCATTGTGACGTCACTGGTTACCATGACGTCATAATCAAATGACATCACTAATGGCTCTGCTACTGAAACTGTTAGCAGTACTATTTACACTGAAGACACTGCTAATTATTGTCTACAAATTGAAAAAGTTGGAAGAATGATGTTGGATGATAAATAAAATCTCACCCTCGTGTCTTTTGATATCAAGCCTCGGAATTTTTCCACTTTTATCAACTCGTGTTGATATATTTGATATCAAAAGACACTCGGGTGAGATTCTCTATTTGTCAAGCATTTTAATTTTGATTGCTACATTCATCCTAATGGGAGAAGTTTGTGGTCCTGCTGTTGTGTCATGACTTGGGTACAATGTTACAGGGTGTTGGTCTGTCTGTCCATGGGATGTTCCGGGTGGCCACGGAAAGGACTATGTTTGCCATGCCAGAGACTGCTATAGGTGAGAGTAGCTGCAGAATACGCAGGATTAACAATACAAAGATATGTGTAGAAGAATTGATTATGTAAACCCCATTGATATCCATGAGACCCATTCCAACCTTACACAAATAACATTCAGCTTCTTCTGAAACTCATGGAGCGGTGGGGTAGCCTAGTGGTTAAAGCGTTTGCTCGTCACGCCGAAGAACCCAGGTTTGATTCCCCACATGGGTACAATGTGTGAAGCCCATTTCTGGTGTCCCCTGCCATGATATTGCTGGAATATTGCTAAAAGTGGCATAAAACCATACCCGCTCACTCTGAAACTCTGGCGATAACATAGTTGTCTCCCTTGATACTATGTTTCCACGCTCTTGGTTTTCCTCTATAGTGTGATTCAAGAGGCATAAAACTCAATGACTCAACCGTGGGTTTGAATCCCAGGTTCAACCTCATTAGGACCTTCGGTTCATCAGCACCATACCTGTGGGTTTCACCAAAGTGGTAATCGTCTCCATTACATGCATCTTTAGGACTAAAATGTTGTTCACAGCAACGTAAAAGACAACTCCGTCCCTTACTCTGACTGAAGATTTAGGTTTCTGTGATGGTATTTCTCAGTGCCATCTTTCTTCTGTTGTGCCAGGGTTATTCCCTGACGTGGGTGGAGGGCACTTCCTGCCGCGCCTCCATGGACAGATTGGTACCTTCCTGGCACTGACGGGATTCCGGTTGAAGGGCCAGGATGTGCATGCAGCTGGAGTAGCCACACATTTCGTAAACTCACAGCAGGTATTTCAAACTCTTTAGTTTAACTGATATACTTGTGACATCTTTTATTACAGAAATGACTTCAGTATGTTTCTGCGTTTATGAGGTAAGGGGGCCAGTCGGGAAGCCTAGTGGTTAAAGTGTTTGTGCGTCACGCCAAAGACCCAGGTTCGATTCCCGACATGGGTACAATGTGTGAAGCCCATTTCTGGCGTCCCCCGCTGTGATATTGCTGTAATATTGCTTAAAGCGGTGTAAAACCATGCTCGCTCCCTCACTCACTCACTCACTCACTCATGAGGTTCAAACGCAAAATCGGTGTGCACTCTTTGTGTATTCTATTATGTTTGTAACCTCATTAATGCAGACACATATTGAAGTCAATTCTTATCATTAAGTATGCGCAATAATGAAACACAAGCTCTGCTAATTTTATTATCAGTTTAAGGCGACTATGCTTGTTGTAAGAGGCAGCTAACGGAATCGGGTGGTCAGGCTCGCTGACTTGGTTGATGCATGTCATCGTATCCCAATTGTGTAGAGGGATGCTCATGATGTCAATGACTGGATTGTCTGGTCCAGACTTGATTATTTACAGGTAGCTGTCATATAGCTGGGATATTGCTGAGTGCGGCGTTAAACAACAAACAAATATTATCAGTTTGTCAGGAAATAGTAGTTCGTTTGTGGGCGTGGCCTAAACAAATTTAGTTATAAAACCGGAACAAAAAAACAAAAAAATTGCTTGCTTAGCCAATGAAATGCCAAGGAATCACTAGCAATATATTTATTGAACAACAGACAGAGAGTTTACTTATGGATGAGTTGAGTTACAGATGCCTATTGTGACCATGACACTGGCTCTATTGACATGCTGTGTGCTTTTCATGTTCAGCTACCTGACTTGGAAAAAGCCCTGATGGAACTACAGAAGCCCCAAAAATCCGACATTTCACAGGTTCTCAACAAGTTCCATAAACAGGTTGGTACTGATACAAATTCCTGCAGATGTGTATTGAGAAGTCAAAACTAAGTAATGAGATAAAACGCAAATATGGTCAATAATATTGTGGTAGAGGGGTTGTCAAGTTTTCATTTTCCCTATCTACATTTTATATATTGTTCTGAGGGATGCAACTGTTCACATCCAGTGTGTAAGTAGGTATGATCATTATGATAAGGCTAAAAATAAATAGTCTTCGTTCTCGGGGACCGCCCAAATCATCATTAAGTTCTCCGCATGTTTCGTATTTATTTTCCAACACAAGAAAATCCTTACATACTCAACTGTTTATTTGGTTACACACTAAAAAACAAACAAACCACAGCCGCCCGCACAGTATTTTCAAAAGCCATTAGCTGAGAACCACTTTTTTAAATATTTTTTAAGCCTATACATCAGAAGCAATTTTGACGAAAGCTTGATTTTGTGTTATCTTATATGATCACATGATATGAATGATAAGAGACATAATGCCTAAGTCAGCTAATATCCTTCAATATCACACCAGCCTATTGATCTATGGCCATGCAAACCAGTGGTTGACAGCATGAGCAATCGTCCTCACTGTCTCGACCTGTTGTCACAAAATTTAGCCAAGTCACTCATTTTAACCACAAATCAGGTCTTTCAAGTAATTTTTAATTATTTATTTTATCTTTATTCACCTTTACTGCCTTTTTGCATATTGACCAAGAGAATCCATCTTCATCTTATATTGGCAGTTATCCCAATTAGTGTGACAATTCAGTGTCATGATGTATTGCAAGACCAACTTAACTACTGTAGTGTAGGAGTCAAAGTACACTGACAAATAAAAACAAAGAGTCACTGCACAGCATGTGGTTGGTCTACATCTTTCAACTATTTCAGTTATATCACCGAATGTCACCTTGATGTGGGGGTAAAGCCCAATTTGATGCAAGTATTAGACCTTTATCACTCTTGTGAAACCAACTAGCATGTGTAGGGTGATTAACCTGGAAAGATAATCGGGGAGAACCAGGATTCGAACCTACAATCATAGGTTATGGGACAACTTAGGGTCTCAACTCTGCACATGCTGTATGTAAGTAGGTCAGACATTATGAGAACATTATCAAATGGTCCATCGATCTCGCTGCAGAGCTCTGATCCCCAGAGGGCCTTTGTGCTGAAGCCTCACCTGGACAGCATCGACACACTGTTCGCGGCCAACACCTTGGAAGACATATTCCATAACCTTGAGAAGGATGGATCGGAGTGGGCCCTGAAGCAGCTCGGCCTCCTCAAGAAGATGGTATGGTGAAGCAGGCCTTTATAACAGTGTGTACATAATTGAGGTTGGATCAGACAATCCAGTGATCGATCCACACGTATGATGACCCGCAATCAACCAAGTGACCGAGTCTTACCTCTCCATTCATTATGTTATCTCTCACAACTATCATCGGCTGCTAGGGACCTATTCTCACCCAGATCCCACAGGGCTGAAGTTTTTACTGAACGTGATGTTTACAACAAAGCTGACATTAAGCATGTTAATAATTGAAGTGGACATAACATGTCTGCTTTGATATCTGTGGACATAAAATACACTCACAAAATGCATCCTTAAATAATAAATAGAGTGAAAAATGCTGTTTTGATATCTATGTTGTGGCGTAATATACACTCACAGAATGCATCCTTGAATAATTAAGAGAATGAAAAATGGTAATTAATGTCAGTGACTTGACAGTCAGAGAATCACAGTTTGAATCCTATAAAGGTTAAAGTTTGATTGAAGTCCCATCAGGACAAAATACATTTCTGAATCAGCAGGAAAAATTATTTCTGCTTTCTCTGTATGTGGTAAAGTCTGTGTGATAGGTATTTCTTAGAAGCTGACGGATGACACAAGTATGGATGACAACTTCAATAGGTCCTTGTATCTTTGTCAAGCAAGACTGCATATGTATTTTTATCCTTCTGTTGTTATTATTTATCACTTTCATGATAATTTCTCTTTTATGTATGTAAAGTGTTGTTACTGTTAATCCTTGACCTACTACATATGATTCTGTACCATGCCCACATTATTCAGTCTTGCTTGACAACGGCACAAGGATCCATGTGGAAATGTCGCTATAGTGCAAGTAGTTCACAGATAATGAAACTGAAGGGCTTTGTTTTATGCTTTTCTGTTCCCAGTCTCCAACGTCGATGAAGGTGACATTAAGGCAGCTGCGAGAAGGGGCCACGATGACGCTGCAGCAGGTGCTGAACATGGAGTATAGGTTGTCCCAGCGCTGTCTCGAGGACCGGGACTTCTATGAGGGAGTCCGAGCAGGTAGACTTCACGATACTCATGGTCTTGCATGACTTGGATGTGGTTAAAAACAGCAACTGTTTAGATAAACAAGGTTTAACTCTATATGGTGGGGAATGGTGGGGAATGTTTGGCAATTTGGGGCTAATAAATCTTCAGGCACATTTGGGCTGACATACATTGCATCAAATGTATTGCAATGTACTGTTTTGTCACTACTAAACGAATTCACACTATTGATGTGAGAAGAAATCAACTTATAGGTTGAAGATACATCCACTGTGAGAGGCCAGTGCTCTAACAGGCTGCAATTTGCTGTGCAGAGTTGCATCCCTTGGCTGTGTCAGAAGCCTATGAACATGTGTTTGAATCTCAGAACTGTCCTGATTATGTTTCTAGTTTTGTCACCACCTTACCTTTGGATTTCACCAAAGTGGTTAACTTCTAAGACCTGCATCACTTTGGGCTCTCCTCCCACATCAAGATGACACCCAGTGACATACACTTCAAAACAGCGTAAAACCAATATCTCTGTCTCACCAATTCTGTTTTCCGGGATTGGGTGGTCAGGCTCGCTGACTTGGTTGATGCAAGTCATCGATCCCAATTTGGCGGATCGATGCTCATGATATTAATCACTGGATTGATTGGTCCGGACTCAATTATTTACAGACCGCCGTCATATAGCTGCAATATTGCTGAGTGCGGCATTAAACAACAAACCAACCAACCAAGTAATTCTGTTTTCATTCAGCAATGTCTGGACATGTGGTCACTGTATTATGATAATCACCTTACTTATGTACCTTTGCACATGACCCATTGGTCTTCAGCTACTCATGATTGTCATAAGAGGCGACTAACGGGATCAGGTGGTCAGGCTCGCTGACTTGGCAGATGCATGTCATCGTATCCCAATTGCATGGATCAATGCTCATGATATCATGACTCGATTATTTACGTCTTCATATAGCTGGAATATTGCTGAATGCGGCGTTAAACAAACAAACAAACAAACAAACAAACAAACCTTTGCACATGAGCCTTCTGTCCTGTCTCAGTTTTGGTGGACAAGGACAACAGTCCGGCATGGAACCCCGCCAGCATCCAGGAAGTGAGCCAGGAGAAGGTGGACTGGTACTTCTCACCTCTACCTCCAGACAGAGAGTTGGTGCTATGAGTGTCATCATAGGTGGAAACAACCTAATACATTAGACTGCAGGAAGGAAGAGTGTTGTATGTTTGTAGAACATAAGGTAACTCTGCCATCAGAACAAGAGGAGATGTGGCCAGGGAAATCACGTATTGAAGAGAGTATACCGTATTTAACATGATAAGCGCCCAGGGCGCTCTCAAAATTAGAAATAGGGACTCTATTAGAATAGAATTTTGGTGAAAAAAACAACACAGAGTAGAAAGATCGTAAATTTCGTGGTTTATGCTGACAGCCTGAAATGATACAAAAGAAAAGTCTGTGCGTATTATACACGACAGATAACTTTTTCCAGAATTTAACTGCCCATAATTAAGGGTGCATATAACACACAAGTGCGAATTATACACGAATAAATAAGTCTTGTTTACATTGATCAATCGGAAGGGGTACTTATTGGGATTGTTCACTAGCCAATATATTAGCAAATATCGCCGTGGGCGCTTGTTAGAGCAGGGTGCTTATTACGTCAAATACGGTATGTGTATTCAGGGTTGTCACACTTTCTTGTGAGCTAGTGCTTCGTATAGAGACGTTCACCAGTATGAATCGGACTGGAAATGTGTGCACTCTCAAGCTTGAGATGCAATTACTAAAGGCTGTGCCATTAAATAACAAATGTCCATGCAGATTCTACTCCATGTACAGACTCAACTAAGAAATTGTATTGGTGTAGGTTGACTTCAGATTGGAGGCCAGTTCCTCGTGGGTGACAGAATGTGTGATTTTGTAAGCGTGTGTGATCTTATTAAACTTTGTTCTGTGTGATTGGTGTCAGACTTTTGAAAGTAGGTCACGGATTTTAAATGTGGGCATATTGTCTCAGAGAGTCAGTGTATTGTAATCAGCATATTTTTCCTGTTGTGTGTAATCTGGTATGTTCTACAAAATATGTGTGATAGTTATCACCATCATCAACAGATGAAGAGCGTACACACGTATATAGAAGCATTTAAATTTTTTCTTGTTCTTTTGGGAAAGCTTTTAAACTGATATATTTTACTGGGAAGTGCTGGTCATGTGATAACCAATAAGCAGCCTCGTGAAACGGGACTGTTTTAAGGTTTTGTTTGAATTTAACTGCCACAGCCAGTGAATTTTCTAGTGACTACTACACAAAGATTATTGATATTAGAGATCATTCTTCCAAAGACCTCTTCCAAATGGGTTTGGGGAATTCTTTGGGACTTAAAAACGTCAAGGGTACAGGTCAGAAGATTGGAAACATTTCTGCAACACTCAACACTAAGTATTTATGAATTTATCATTAAACTTACCTGCATACCTTCTCTTAATGGGACTCTGCTTTGCAAAGGTTTTGGTCAGAAACAATTAAAGATCATTGTCAGGGTTAAGGGTTTTATAAAACATGGTCATGTCCTTTGGAGTTTCTGAGGCATGGTCACCTCTACGGCCGTGTAACTTTATATTTGCAGGTATTGTTCAAGTCCTTCCACTTGGTGTTATGTCTATCGAAGGTCAAGGTCATCTTTAAATTTATTGTAAGACACGGTTGTATTGCCAGTTACTGTTGTACTTTTACTTGTACAAACCTGAGACTGGGCCTCATTCCAGAGAGTGGTCTTAGCACTACTTCTGTCGTAAGCCAGTGATAAAGAATGGGAGTTAGCGTTAATATCGCTTTGTGGAACTGCTCCCTGGACAATTGTTGGAACTTATAAAGCTGTCTTGATATAAAGTTAAGGTCTGGAAGTAATCTTTTTCCACCGGAAGTAAATGGTGGCGTTTTAGGACTTGAATTTTGAATGGTGGTGGAGGGGCTGCTTCTGTGTTTTCAAGTACAGTAAACTACATTTGTAATGAACACGCTTATAACGAACCGACGGATATAACGAACTGGTCCTTTGGCACCGGTGATTTGCTGTATATATGATGTATGTATGCCTATAACGAACTACGATAATAACGAACTAAAATTATTGGTCCCTTTGACTTTATTTTACCGTAGTTTACGGTACATGGAAACACCTCTAGTTGGATGCTATTGTCTGGACTAAATGGATCAGGTGGTTAGTTTTGGTGACTTGGTTGATTTCAAGTCATTGTATCGATGCCCATGGTGTTAATCACTGGATCATCATCAATGATATTAATCATTCGACTGTCAGGTCGAGACTCTGTTATGTACAGATTATGGTTTAGCGATTGCTCATCATGCTGAAAACACGAGGTCGGTTCTCTGCATGGGTACAATGTGTGAAGGCCATTTGCTGATGTCCACTACCATGATATTGCTGGAACATTACAAAAAGCGCTGTAAAACCATACTCTGAATTATGTGAAATCAATCAAGCCTAATCAGTCTTGTAAACAAGTGTCTTTTGTAGGTCTGTATCTTATGATGACAATGACAGTTCTCAAAACTTATCAAATCGTAGTTCCAGTCTCCATGTAACATGCCTCTGAGGTTATGGTTGAAATGTAAAACCCAAGTGGAAGGATTTCCATTTTCGGCCCAAACCAAAAAGCATGTTCTGACTCATGTACCAAAGAAACAACATTTATTAATATATGTTTAATATTATGTTCAAAGTGTGTTACGACAGCCTAAAGAAATGCTAGAAAAATATGTCTGGCCAGAAAATACACACTTAACGTGGTACCTTCTGATGAAGCACTTGTTTTTAACCAGTTCTGTGGTTTAGTAGCTAGGTTACTGATCAGGAGATTGTGGGTTCAATTCCCGTCATCCGTAATGAAAAAGTTTCAATTTCTATCTTTGACGTCATCTTTCTGGGACAGGGGTGGTATGGTAGCCTAGTGGTTAAAGCGTTTGCTCGTCACGCCAAAGACCCGTGTTCGATTTCTGACAAGGGTACAATGTGTGAAGCCCATTTCTGGTGTCCCCTGCCGTGATATTGCTGAAATATTGCTAAAAGCGGCATAAAACCATACTCACTCACTCACTTTTTAGGACAACCTTATGCTACAAACAACTTAGAAAGTGTGATGTTTTGTATATTTTTTTAATCCCATCACAGTCTTTTGTAACACCAAGATCAATGTACAACAGTTTTCTTGTTGAAGTTCCTCGAATGACAACAGTGTTGCATTTGCATTTGCATTCAGACCTGGAGCACATTTAGGGAAGAACAATTGTGACAATTGTACTCTGACATCATTGTGACTCATCAGGAGAAAAGTGACTGTATGGATGCAAGGGTACAATTGCACTCTGATGTCATTAAGAAAGATGTTGAAGTCAATTTACTACTGTATTATAATCACTATGTGTGCGGACTGTTAAAAAATAACTTATTTTTCTCTCGTTGGTTCATAATGTAATAAAAACAGTATTTCAAAATATTTCAGCATACATGTCTACTTTCAACTAATCAGACCTTATATGTAAAAACTGCAATCATTACATGAACAGTTATAAGTCTGAAAAATGAGTCCAAGGTTTTGCTGCTATGTAGCTCTGTAATAAATATGAATTGAAGGTTATAAATTGTATGTTTGGGGTCCTAGGAGTTTTCGAATATAATAAGAAGTCAAAATGTGGTAAAAAAGAGCGATAACTAAATTCGATAAATTAACTAAGTAGGTGATATGTGTGTAAATCATATCGACGGTTAAGTATCATCGTGCCAACATGCCAATGTGCATACAACCTTTTCCATGTAGGACATGCTAATGAATTAAAAAAAATAATTTATTCCACTTATATGATAACAACACAGGCTCCACATATTCACAGTTTCCACAAGTTGTAAAGTTCCATAAAGTGCACTGACACAATGTTTATGGACAAAGTAGGTTGACAAGGCTCTGTAGGTGGATGACAGTGGCCTTAAACTGATGTGATGTGTTCTGCAATAGTGCTACATTTACCCTTGCACCCCTTCTGTGCACAGGGGCGGTCGGGTAGCCAAGTGGTTAAAGCGTTCACTCATCAAGCTGAAGACCCGGGTTCGAATCCCGACATTGGTACAATGTGTGAAGCCCATTTCTGGTGTTCCCCGCCGTGATATTGCTGGAATATTGCTAAAAGCAGCGTAAAACCAAACTCACTCACTCACTCACTTCTGTGCACATTTCCTACACATTTAGTCGATATTGGTAACCTTTGTGAAGAACTTGCTGACCTAGTTGAAATGAGCAGAAGCCTTGTAGAAGACAATTAGGACACAACAGATATTTTCATTGTTAATCAGCTGCCTGTATGCATCAAAGAAGGAACATGGGTAAGAAATACAGGAAGTCAGACTAGACTGTTGTTTTATTAGATCAGTTTCAGTAAATGCTATAAGGAATATATTGTACAAGTGAGGTAATGAGGTGATCAGAATATTATCAACTTGCCATTTTGAGTAAAATATAAAATATACTCGCCAAAAGAAATGCAAACACAGAAGTATGTAGTTAAGAGATGTTTCCAATGTGTACCAATTATTGACATTATTCAAAAGTCTAAAGTCAAGTGTTACCATGAAGTGTCTTTATTCTTATCAGGATATGATGCACGTGATTTCCAAACTTAACAGGCTAATCCTGCACCAAAGACAAATAGTGCATCTCGAGTCATGGCTCTATGACGTCACATTTGATGCATTTATGAGCATCTATTCACACAGCATACCAGCATGTTCGTTTGTGCTTTGTGCATCGAACCAATGGAAGATCTCTTGCATATGAGTAATTCTTCATAAATACTACTCAAAAGAAGTTAAGGATCACCCGATTCTTCCTTATTACAATAGTTAATCTCTCATGCCATGACAGATTAACATTACCAATATGAAAGAATCGGGTGACCCTTAACTTCTTTTGAGTAGTGAGTGAGTGAGTGAGTGAGTTAATGCTTTACGTCACATCGGCAATATTTCAGCCATATCGTGATGAGTCTTTTGAGTAGTGTATATTAACCAACATGCATGGTTTTCGCGTTTCTATTGTTGGTGAGTATATATTGAAATTGTTTGATGTATAGGCACATTGGGAGTTGAAATAATTTAAAAGTTCATATTTTGTGGGTAAATCGGTAATGATGCTCAACCACCGAACCATAAATTGTTTTGATCATCTTCCCGAGGCAAGGGAGGTAACCGACTATAAAAGTCCAGTGGGAACTCCCTTGTCTCTAGAAGATGGTTTTGATAAGAGTGTGGGCACTTTGGGATGTAGGCACATTATGAACAGACCCGTGAAGATCCGGGTTAGAATAGGTCTTCAGCAACCGATGCTTGCCGTAAAATTCGACTATGCTTGTCGGCGACTAACGGGATCGGGTGGTCAGGCTTGCTGACTTGGTTGATGGATTTCATCGATCCAAATTGTGTGGATCGATGCTCATAATGTCAATGACTGGATTGTCTGGTCCAGACTCGATTATTTACAGACCGACGTCATGTAGCTTGAATATTGCTGAGTGCGGCGTAAAACAACAAACCAACCAACCAACATTAGGAACATACCATATCAGTTCCACCCACGCACTTCACGGCTACTATATGTACAATGCATAAGTGAGGGTACCATCCCCTCTACCCTAAATCCTAAATACCGTATGATTTTCCATTCTGAATTGCATTTACTCAACCCTGAACCCCGAAGACATCTCACTCTACAAATTTCACTCTACAAAGGCAGAATGTCAAGCACAGACGAAAACCTATAGAACACGTTCCTGTGTCAAAAATAGGTTGCTGTAAAGATGAATAACTTAAAAAAACAAAGAAAAGATGAAATATATTAATTATATCCTAACGCCAATCTCATTAAATTCAGATCTTGGTTTTCGCTACCGCTAAACAAAGATCTAAGGACATCCCATATCGGGTCACGTCGGAACGACCTTTCGCGAATTTTGACCGACCAATGAAATGGCTGACAAGAAATCGACATTAGCCAATCAGAAGGCAGCTTTCTCGAGCTTAACGACACTAGTTTCAAACTGGCGCCTACGCTTCGAAGTATATTTTGACGTATTCTCGATTAAAAAAAATAAAACTGATAAGAAGGACATTCTGGAATGGCTTATATAGATGGCCTAGATTGTATGGATATAATCATTAAACCCGTAACTGTCATTCGGAATACCCCGTGTTTAATATTTCGTGGGTGCATGATTAGAAAACACATTCCGACTGTCACTTTCATGATCTGGTAAGCGACGCTCTGATTGGTTGGATGAAAGGTCGTCCTGACGTGACCCTTAATGGGATGTCCTCAGATCTTTGTTTAGCGGTAGCGAGAACTAAGATCTGATTTTAATGAGATTGATCCTAACGCACAACACTAATTCTTTTAAATGTTGATTCTGCGTGAAAATGTGATGCGAACTGTTAGCAAATAACATATCTGATACAACCGTCAACGACACACAAGTCTTGTGCCCCGAACGGCGCGACTTAATACCCATCCCCATTGTCTCACTCCTGACAATGTAATGTATTGTGTAATATAGACCATGCCTGTGGAGAGCAGTCAAGCACTGGACGTATAAGACGTGAATTTTCTTATATCCACTCGAGCAGGCAATTCCCTGAAATGAAATATTAATGATATTAACGCACAGCAAGAACTTATTTCTCTGGCACGACGAACTGTAGTGTTGGTTTTGATAGATGTATGTAAACAAAATAGCCAAACAGTTTTATTTAAAACCCCCGAGAGGGTGCGTTGAATGTTGGAATGTGCTGTAGGTAAGTTCAGGCATAGAACGATTATAGATGAATTAGGTATACAGGTAAGTGGAATAGTAAATAGATGACGAAGGACAGACGCACCTGTGTGTGAAGTAGGTTATGACGGCCACGGCCAGAACAAGTACAGCTGTACCACCCAGGATGCCCATAGCAATGTAAAACAATTCTGGAAGAAAAACGCAAAATTAGGTATTTTCTAACGTTTTCTCGTTTTACATCGCACTCAGTATTCCAGTCACTTGACGGCGGCTTGTAAATAACTGAGTCTGGAGCAGACAATCCAGTAACGATTTGGGCATCGATCCATATAGCATCAAATCAAATCATGTATATTTCAATATTGGGCATATTTTTGGGCAATCGGCCTGTGTGCAATCATGAATGCATGAGAGTAGCTCACCTTTAAGATAAATACCGTGCTTTTTTTAGCAAAGACAGGTGCTAATAATGATTGCCAAAATTGATACATATAGTATATGTTCGATCAACCAAGTTCCAGGGCCTGACCTCCCCATACATTAAGTCGCCTCTTACGACAAACAGGTTGTCGGGTCCAATTCTATCCCGATATACCCGAAAGTTTTCTAACCTGCACTTAATAACACACATTTAGTTTGTTAGTTGTCTAACGCTGCACTCAGCGTTATTCCAGCTACAGGACGTCTGTCTGTAAATAACCGAGCCTGGACCAGACAATCCAGTGATTGACATTTGAGCATCGACCCACGCAACTGGGATAAGATGACACGCAAACCGCTCGATTTAGTCGCTTCCTAGGACAATCCTAGATTGCTGCGGCCTATACTTTGTCACTTTGTAATTTCTAAATTAAAGAACTGTCGATTCATATGTTTTGTTAGTATAATTTTGAGAACATCCGCTAAATGCAGACAATTTATATTGTGTTTAAAGGTCATAAGATTGTTGTACACTTACGTCTGTCTTCTTTCTCTTCAACGCTTTCCTTTGACATTTTGCTGGCAGTGGCGTTGACGCCATTCTCTTCGACGACCGCCATGACTCGGTCTGGAAGAGGAAATTACTATGAGACTCTTCGACTTTGACTATTGGAGATATTCAAAGAATCAATATAGTAACGGTGTTAAGGACATATTCAAACCGAAGAGGACCTTTTATGAACTCTGCCCTCAATATATCTAGTAGCTTCTAAATAAAGAACTAAAGACAACTTTGTTGTCAACGTCACCAGCTGTAAGACGGCGGCCTGTAAATGATCGAGCGTGGCCAGATATTCCAGGGATATTATAACTAATAATCCACGCCGTCGGTGTACGGCACGGAATCAACTAAGACACCGAGCCTGAGCACCCAATCCATTGAGTCGCCTCTTCCGACAAGCATAGGTTGCTGGGGACCAATTTTAACCCGGAATCCCCACAGGTAGTTGTAAGTGGACACCGGTTACACAGTTCGTATCTCAGACGGTTACCGTTTCTGACTGACTGAGTCAGCTGCGTTGTATCTGGAAATGTGTTGGTGTCAGGCCTTGCTTTTGGTCTTGCAGCACCTCTGGTTCCCGTGGTTACTGTGGTTCCAGTGGTTCCCGTGGTTACTGTGGTGGTCCTTTCCTCCAGAGCAGAGGCGTAAGGCTGCGATGGCGAAGTATTAGGAAATGTAGCTGGCCTCATGCTTGTAGCTGTCCCCGAGGTCTGTGATGTTGGTGTAGGGTTGTTACTGGAGGAGGAGGGTTCATTAGTTGGTACTAGGTTATTTCTGCTTGATGTAGACATCCTGACCTTTTCAAATGTCTCTCCAGAAACAGGCATCGATGGTGATGTGTTTTCATTTTGTATCGTTCTTGTGGAAGTAGCTCCTTCAGTTGAGACATCGGGTTTCACAGATGTTTGAAGAGGGGTCGCTTTTACTGGTAGAGCAGAACTAGGAGAACCGGTAGATGTTTCTTCTTTCATAATCACGGAGGATGACTCGGTTCGAATGTTTAACACAGTCGCTGGCACAGTTGTAACATTCGTGGTTGCTAAAGAAGCTGACACAGTTATGTTTGTGGTTGCCGAAGAAGTGGGCACAGTCACTGGCATAGTAATATTCGTGGTTGCCGAAGTGGACACAGTCGCTGGCATAGTAGTAACATTCGTGGTTGCCGAAGACGTCGACACAGTCGCTGGCATAGTAGGAACATTCATGGTTGCCGAAGAAGTCGACACAGTCGCTGGCATTGTAATATTCGTGGTTGCCGAAGAAGTCGACACAGTCGCTGGCATAGTAGTAACATTCGTGGTTGCCGAAGCAACCGATACAGTCGCTGGCATAGTAATATTAGTGGTTGCCGAAGACGTCGATACACTCACTGGCATAGTAGTAACATTCGTGGTTGCCGAAGAAGTCGACACACTCACTGGCATAGTAATATTAGTGGTTGCCGAAGACGTCGATACAGTCACTGGCATAGTAGTAACATTCGTGGTTGTTGATGAAGTCGACCTTTCTGATGCTGTAGATGACAACTTGTCTCCGATGGTACCATTGTGTTGCCGATTATTTTGCTCGACTTTCGCTTTTGAGACAGAGTCTGGTATTCTTGTAGTAGCATTTCTTGAAGTATTATCCATGGGAATTGAAGTCGTAGGCGTGGGATGAAGAACTGCTGTCGTATGTTGTCCTTGAAGGCGTAATAGAAAAGTAACGATTACTACCGTACCGTAGCAGTAAGTATGAGAGATACTAAATACATATGAACACCTACATTGTATGCCCTCTGTAACACGTGTATCGCCCTTCAGGGAAAATCCATGTCATAAACGTTTGATCTTGTATACTTCATTAAGAAATATTGTTTATTTAAACACCAATAATAATATTCAGAACGACATTATAAATTTATAGTCGATGCATTCAGCAAAGGGGAGAAATGTAAGCCCCCGCATATGTGTGTAGTATAGAATCAAGAGTCCCATGGCTTTTAAATTCAATAACAATATTCATCTCGATGAGCATGGCGAAATCCATAACGTTGGAAATAAACCACAGCCATAAATGATTTCTCAGCAATTTAAACAATATAAAAAAATCTGCAAATATCTGAAAGCAGAACACTTTCGACACATTGCAAAAATAAACAAAATCAATCTCATTGAAGCATATATATATATATAATGTCCATCTTCTTGAAGCATAACTATATCCATCTCCTTGAAGCCTATAATATCCATATCCTTGAAGAATATATATACAATATCAATCTCCTTGAAACCTAACTATATCCATCTCCTTGAAGCATCTATATACAATATCAATCTTCTTGAAGCATAACTATATCGATCTCCTTGAAGCATATATATATACAATACCGATCTCCTTGACGCATATATATATATATATATATATATATAAAAATTAATTATATATATTGGTATATCTGTGAAATTGGAAATACATGTAGTTAAGCCTCACCTAGAGGGATATCGTTATGTTTCAGAGAGATTTAATAGTTATGCTACAAGGAGATCAATTTAGGTATACTTCAAGGAGATAGATATAATATGCAAAGAGATGGATATTGGTATGCCTGTGTAGTTGGATATGGTTAAATGATCCATATTGTATATACACAAACAATATATATATATATATATATATACAATATCGATATATTGGATATGGTTAAGAGATCGATATTGTATATATACACAATATATATATATATATATATATATATATATATATATATATATATATATATACAATATCGATCTCTTAACCATATTATCTCTGAAACATAACGATATCCCTCTAGGTGAAGCTTAACTACATGTATTTCCAATTTCACAGATATACCAAAATCCATCTCTTGAAGAATAGGAATATCCTTCTCATTGAAGCATAACCATATCAATGTCGTTGTAGCATACCAATTACCATCTCAAAGGCTAATCCATATCCATTTCTTAGATATTTGACCTCAACCTCGTAAGCAAACAATAATACGATGTATTGCTCTCGTAGACAACAATATCCATCGTGTAAAAAACAGAAATAGAAATAGAGCGCTAGAATAGATATGTCTCCTTTAAGAATAACTATGTTAATCTCCCTGAAGAATTACTATATTCATCTATTGACAGCTCTATTCATTTCCTTGAACCATCACTATTTCCATCTCCTTGAAGTATAACTATGAATCTCCTCGAATCTATATTCCTCACATTGAAGCATAACTATATCAATGTCCATGAAGTATAGCTATTACCATCTCCTTGAAGCATTACTATGAATCTCCTCGAATCTATATTGCTCACATTGAAGCATAACTATATCAATGTCCATGAAGTATAGCTATTTCCATCTTGAAGCATAACTATGAATCTTCTCGAATCTATATTCCTCACATTGAAGCATAACTATATCAATGTCCACGAAGTATAGCTATTTCCATCTCCTTGAAGCATTACTGTATCCATCTCCTTGAAGCATTAATAGCTACATGTATATGTATCGCCTTGAAGCATCACTATACAAATTTCCTTGAATCATACCTATATCCATCTCGTTGAAACATAGCTATATTGATCTCCTTGAAGCATAACTTATGAATCTCATTGAAGCATAACTACATCCAGCTACACATGTACAGTCATTCTGATATCCATCCCTTTAGTGGATAATAATATCGATTTCTTAGACATTTGATAATATCAACCTTCTAGATACAAGCATAACAATGACAAGTTGTAGACATACCAATATCCACCTAGGCCTCGAATACATATCCATTTCTGAGATATGGGACCATATCAACCTCGTAAACATACAAAATACTGATCATGTGGACATAGCGGTAACAACATAACAATAAAAACCTACCGTTAATTTGAGATAGCACTGTGCAAGAAAAGATGTTAAAAATCAGCATCAGTCGCACAGCCATCTTGTACCTATCCTTGCCAGGTCGCCATTACACAAGCTGATTTTCCCAGACTTCATGCAGCTATATTTAGTGAAATAACAGTTTGTGCACAATGATCGTAAATAGGAGATATAGAAAGATGAAGAGAGGCTTGTCCCGACCCTTTCATTACAAATATGCGTTGAAGATGAAGCTTCGCCTTAACCAAACACTGCACCCGTTTATTGGCAGCCGGGTAACGCAACGGTGGGACACCTCGCGATGGGAAGGGATGCTATGTAAATGAATTGTACACGTTTCCCTTGCGTGTAGGTCATTATTACATCATGTGTGTATCAGTCATGTTTCATTGAACAGAAACGAGCTATATATCGTCACGTCGGCTGTAGGTAGTCAGTAGGGGATGTGTGTTGAAACCGTAGCTCGCTGCACTTATATGTAAATAGATGATGGGGGTATCAGTGGGAGCCTTGTATGACCCTTTGTGATAAGAGGCGGCGGAAAGTAGCGAGTCCCTGGACGGTGGGTGGAGCTCTGTTTACCTGAAGGGGCGGTGTGGTGATAAGAGTCTGTAATACAGATGCCGATATCGATTGACACACTTCCCATGTGTTTGATTAGAGTGAGTGAGTGAGTGAGTGAGGTTTTACGCCGCTTTTAGCAATATTCCAGCAATATCACGGCGGGGGACACCAGAAATGGGCTTCACACATTGTACCCATGTCGGGAATCGAACCCGGGTCTTCGGCGTGACGAGCGAACGCTTAAACCACTAGGCTACCCGACCGCCCCGTGTTTGATTAGACACAGGGCAATACACTGAAGACGTTACATTTCTAACACTCACGACTAAACACACAAATCTCCCGTAATGTCGTGGTGGTGAAATGGGGTGAAAGTTTTTTGTTTTTTTTGTTTATTTGTTGTTTAACGCCGCACTCAGCAATATTCCAGCTTTATGACGGCGGTCTGTAAATAATCGAATCTGGACCAGACAATCCTGGGATTGACATCATGAGCATCGATCCACGCAATTTGGATACGATGGCATGCATCAACCAAGTCAGCGAGCCAGACCACCCGATCCCGTTAGTCGCCTCTCACGACAAGCATAGTCGCCTTTTACAGCAAGCACGGGTTGCTGAAGACCTGTTCCACCCCGGATCTTCACGGGTATAGGTGGAATGTGGAATTTAACTTGTGGAATTTGACTTGTTGAAAGTGAGGTAGACAGTTTTATGTTAAAAACCGGAAAATGTGTAATGTGGCCACAGTGTGTATTTATTTACACGTGCATGGGGATTAAGGTCGCATTCACAATTAATGCACTAAAATAGCGACGTGCATACGCGTGTTTGTGTGTGTTGCTGCTACTGGTCCGGACTTACACAAGCTTTTATAGTGCTAGCCCACTGAGATATCATGCCATAGTTTACTAAATCTTTTATACCCCGATTGCTGAGTGCCAGGCAGACGCGCCATCCTTCAACACCTTTTGATATGACGCGGCCAGGGGATCAAACCACCGACCTTCCGCTCTCCGACGACCGCCTCCGTGGTCTAGTGGTACAGACCTCCCGGAGAGTGGACGGTACGGGGTAACATTCGCTGCCGCGTCATATCGAAAGACGTTGAAAGATGGTACCTGTTGTTACCCTGCCTGGCACTAAGCATTAAGAGGCTTAATCAAAGACTGGTCGTCTAAGCGTCAATGTAATGTGTCTGATTTGGATTTTCAACTGCAGCATGGTATTTCAGTGGGCTAGCTTGCACGCAATGTTAATCCCCATTTCACCTCACCTCACCCAATATAGATTTTGGGAGTACTCAAGCAATGATAAACAGAGAATCACCTGACGAACGTGTAATAGATACATTGTCCTATGATAATACCTTGTCGCTGCCTTGTGTGAAATATGGAAGGGTTACCTTTCGGGATATATCGATACTTCGTAATACACTCCAGCAATATTCAAGCTGTATGGCGGCGGTCTGTAAATAATCGAGTCTGGACCAGATAATCCAGTTATTGACACCATGAGCATCGATCAACGCAATTGGGGTGAGTGAGTGAGTTAAAATTTAACGTCGCATCGGCATTATTTCAGCCATATTGGGATACGATGACATGCATCAACCAAGTCAGCGAGCCTGACCACCCGATCCCGACAATCGCCTCTTACGACAAGCATTGTCGCCTCTTACGACAAGCAATGTCGCCTTTGACGTTGCTATCTTATAATTATATGTTATGGATATATATGCGGGCAGACGCTGTACCTCTCGACCACGGTTGGTTGGTTGGTTTGTTGTTTAACGCCGCACTCAGAAATATTCCAGCTATATGACGGCGGTCTGTAAATAATCGAGTCTGGACCAGACAAGCCAGTGATTAATATCATGAGCATCGATCCACGCAATTGGGATCGATGACATGCATCAACCAAGTCAGCGAGCCTGACCACCCGATCCCGTAAGTCGCCTTTTACGACAAGCATAGTCACCTTTTACGGCAAGCATGGGTTGCTGAAAACCTATTCTACCCCGGAATCTTCACGGGTCCTCTCGACCACGGAGGCGGTCACTATATAGTGAAATCAGTACATAACCACACAAAATCAATGAATATAAAATATATTACATAGGTACAACTAGCTGTCTAGAACCATGACCATCCCGAAACGTTTCGAGCGATCAATCTCTCATGATGTACTAAGGATATTTTCTGTGGCACCTTTGTTGAGGAAAACATACGAGTAACTGTCGTTTCGTGAATAAGAACCGCCGAGCATTGCTTTGGCGAGTCCAGTCTTTTTACGGGCCGACAGAGAACAGAACAGAGAAATTTGCAAAGTTTGTAGTTTAATCTTCATGAGACAGACAGACATAATCTGTCTTTCTGTTTATTGGCTGACTGACAGATGCAGTTTCAAATGGTTGATCAGAGGAAACCTTTGTCAACAGTCTGGCATTCGATTGATGTAGTGGAGAGAGGACGAGACACTGTCAGGTTTGTTTGATGCCTTGTTACTCTTCAGCTGTTGGGGGGGGGGGGGGGGGGGGGGGGGGGGGGCACGGGTGGCCCAGTCGTCTAAGGCGCCGCGATTCGCTGTGCAGAGTTGCGTCCCTTGGGCACGCCAGAAACCTATGATTGTGGGTTTGAATCCCGGTTCGTCCCGATTATGTTTCTAGGTAGGTTTGACAGCACCATACCCGTGCTCGAGGGTTTCACCGAAGTGGTAAACGTCTGAGACCTGCATCACTTCGGGCTTTCCTCCCACATTAAGCTGACACGCCGTGATATGACTGGAATACTGTTAAAAGCGGCGTTAAACCCAACTCACTCACTCACTCACTTCAGCTGTTGTTTGCGTTGGTGTTGTTGTTCCATGTGATCCAAGATACGAATGTCATCCAGGGGAGTGTTGGGATGGACATCCACGGATCATTCCCAATAGTACGATGTTTCAGATGGTTGTAGGAATGGATCAGTTGTAAAACCCGGAGTATTGACATGTGCCATGTTTTGTGAAATATCGCCACATACGGGTTTTCAAGGTTCTTTGGAGACGCTCAACCACTGATGCCTTGGTTCCTTGATAAGGGCCTGAAAAGGTGTGTTGACAAATTCGGTGCGTTTGTCGGTCTGTAATTGAGATGGGACACACACTTTGACTTGTTTCACGATCCGTTGAAATGCCTCCATCAAAATGTTGCTGGTCTTGGCCTTCATGGGTTGAACCCAAGCCACTTTGGAGAAGACATCAATGATGTGTCCATGTAGGAGAAAACGTCTTCTTAAACGAAGATGAGCCCATTATTGTGGCAGTGCTGCCTGTCTTAGGTCGCCTCATGATGACACTGTCCCTGACCTTGCCCTGTTCTCTCTTTTTTAAAAGAGAATCCACTGACAGACACGGTTGAGCGGAGAGAACGCCTCTGCTGCTCCTTTCCTGGGTTCTTCAAGCTGGATTGATTTTGCGCGGGGTCAAAATTCCACTTGAATGGATATCAAGTGGAGACGGCTTGGCTGCAACTGACAAGGCCAGACGAAGCTGGGTTTCTGTAGGACAATATGACGTGATCGCCATCTTACCGTCCTAGGGCGTCCTTTCCGAGATTGTGGCACTTCAGGTTCCGAAGTATCCTAGCATGCATCACAACCGGAAGTGCACCCATCTTGGAAAAAGACGCCATAGAGATGATGTACAGTACTGACGGGGAAGTTTGAATTTTTTAAAGTTGAATCGCTCACAAAACACAAGTCAAAGGCACAGTACTGTCGTCATATGTGTCTGAACAAGCAAATGAAAATTAAGCTGTAGGCTGCTGTAGGTTCGTTGTTTGGAAGAACAAAATTAAAAAAGTAAAGACGATCTCTTGGTGAATATAAACACTGCATATTGTATCGCTGTAGAAGAGTTGACATATTTTGTATCAGTGGGAAAATACATGAACACCAACTTGTTGTCGCCAGAATCTGCCAAGACAGTTTGTGTCGAGACGGTGGTGCCATCAGGGTCGACAATTCTTCATCGGTCACAAGGTCAGCACTGTGTAAGATTCGTTTCGAAGGGCAATAAGTTGTTATTTTACGTACGATTCAATGAGTTTTTGTTGTTGCCTTTTTGTTATGGGATGGTCAGGTAGATGATACGGCTTCGTGCAGACATGAACAAAACGTGGTAAGAAGTTCCGTTGCGGTCGGCTTATATGTGTCAATGTGGGGATACAAGGGGGACAAAAGTATGTAGGTATGCAGTATTTGATGCAAACAAAAGCTGTATAAACGTTTTATGAATATTAAAGGAAGTAGCAAAACTTAAATTTGTTGGGTGGAATGTTTTGTTTGCTTGTTTGTTTGTTGTTTAACGCCGCACTCAGCAATATTCCAGTTATATGACGGCGGTCTGTAAATAATCGAGTCTGGACCAGACAATCCAGTGATTGACATCATGAGCATCGATTCACGCAATTGGGATACGATGACATGTATCAACCAAGTCAGCGAGCCTGACCACCCGATCCCATTAGTCGCCTCTTACGACAAGCATAGTCGCCTTTCACGGCAACCATGAGTTGCTGAAGACCTATTCCACCCCGGGATCTTCACTTCTAAATCCGGAAAATGTGTAATGTGGCCACAGTGTGTATTTATTTACACGTGT